GTCACCAACTTATAAACATTTTAAATATAATGAAAAAACAAAAAAATGGAAATGTGACTATTGCATATATGTTAATAAACTATATTATTTATTAATTATATTATATATTTAATTAAAATTATAATATTATAAAAAGTATATTTAATATTATAAAATTTATTTTTTAATTATAGTAAAGCTTATGAAAAAAGAGATACTTCAACTTTTTGGAAACATTTAAGAAGCAAACATCTTGATAAAATTAATGATATACTAGAAGAAATTTCTGAACTTCTTGAAGTAATTAAATTTAAATTTTTTATTAATTTTGTTTTATTTATAACTAAATTTTTTTTTAGTTTAGTGAAGAAATATTTAAAAAAAAATTATTAAATTGGATAGTTACAGATGATCAAGCATTTATATCAATTGAAAATCCCGCATTTCAAGAAATATTAAAATATTTACGTTCTAATATTAAAATATCATCAGCTGCTATAATTAGAAAAGAATTGGATAAAAATTTTGATAAAACTAAAAAAGAAATTAAACAAGAATTAAAAGTAAAATAATTTATAATATTAATTATTAATTATAATAAAATATTAAATATTTAATTTTATTTTGTAGAAAATATCTAAATTATCTTTTACTATTGATACTTGGACTAGTGCAAATTATTTACCATTTTTGGGTATTTCAGCTCATTGGATTAATAATAATTTAAATTTGCAATCAGTTGTTTTAGATTTTTGCTACTTGCCTGGATTACATATAGGAAAAAATTTAACATCAAAATTTTTAGAAATCTTATCAGATTTCAATCTTAATTCAAAGGTAACAAATTTTAAATAAAATTTTAAAGTTTAAAAATTTACTAATTTATATTATTTTAGTTATTAGCAATTACTTGTGATAATGCATCTAATATGGATAAAATGCTTCAGTATATTTCAAGCAATAAAAATATTAATTTTAATATAAAAAATCAACATATTAGATGTTTTGCACACATAATAAATTTAGCAGCAAGGGATTTAATTAAAGAACTTTATTTTAAAATTGAATTTTATAATGATAATGATATATTAAAAGATAAAGATATAGAAAAATTAAATAATATTATTTTTAGAGTAAGTTTTTTATTATATTTTATATTTAAAAAAATATTTAACTAAAATTATTTTAAATTTATTTTTATTTGAAAATTTAAATTAGCTAAAAAAATTTATAATTAAAATTCGAGCATCTCCACAACGCCGAAAAGAGTTTAAAGAGCAATGTATTAAAGTTGATCTTAAACCATTACAACTTATTTCAGATAATAATACAAGATGGAACTCTACATATTTGATAATTGAAAGAGCTTTGCTACTTAAAAAAGTAATAATTTTTATTTTATTAAATAAAATTAATTAATACAAAATAATTAATTGTTATTATTTAGGCTATACAAAATATAATTTTAATTAATAAGGATTTT